CATTGTAAAACAAAGTACTGAAAGAAATTGAATTTTGACCTGATGATGTCGCTAATTAAAACGCTTTATATTTGTGCTAATTTCTAAATATTCGCATGCTAAAATTGATAATGTTGATGGCCCTAGTGTAAAACTGAACCCATCACCAAAGATATTAAAATTCAAGCTGAGGAGAATATCAATGTCTATAAAAAATCTAGAAGAATTTCACTCAGAAGCACTAATCTCATAGTGACTCTTCAGGAAAGTCAGTAGATCATCAAAGTCATTTGGATTCATCCTCTGAGAACCATGAATGTCTGCACAAAACCTTGAACCAGTCTATCTTGTAGTTGTTAATATGGTCCAACAAAATATTTGACCTAAAGGAGAATTCAGGGAATAAAAAAGTCTTTAGTGTCATGGTCTTTAGTGCGGCTCATCTCCACTAATCATCTCCAGCAGTATAAGAACCCTGGTCATCTCTCCACTCACCAGATTATACAGTCCGGCTACGTAGTAGTACTTTCAATATTCTCTCAGTTCTGTTCCCTGTCAGTGTGCTTTCCAGTTAGCTGATTCTCTGTGTCGCTGCCTGCTCCAGGTTCCTACCTGCCTCTCCGCTCTGCCTGTTTCTTGCCTGGAAGTCATCTGCCTGTCATCTAACCGGCTACCTGTTCTCCGCCAGTACTGGTCGATAACTCTGTGAGAGCCCAAGGGGGTTCACACGCAGGTACGCCTTCGTGTCCTGCCACGCCACGCCGAACACAACATCTACACCAGCGACATTCTGCAACCTTAGCTGTGAAATACTGCTACTCTCATTAGAGACTATTTGTCTTAGAGCTTTTGTCTGAGTTTTCCATTTGGGTCCAATTCCTGCTTCATATCTTAACATTTAGCATTCATCTTGTGGGGATCATGGATGTCTGTCCAAAATTGTGTGGCAATCCTTAAAGTTTAATTCATGCTTCTGTGTCAAAGCTGTATGCTGTAGTCTACACGTCGACGTGTATCCTACGCAGAGCCGTACGTTTTACTTTTCTTCGTTGCACTTCTTTAAGAAAAAGTTGCTCTTTAACATCTTCGCGATCACACGATCCGCTATGTAACACTCACCACTTTTCCAGAGTGAAAAGGGATTTCAGAGAATTTGTAAATAAACAGACCACAAACACTGAACACCAGCACAGAAACTCTACTGCCGCTAGTGTTTCAGTGGTGTAATTGCAACGCGTCTCACTCACACCTAGGCACAACTATGAATGCTCTGCCCTGTATGTAGGCTACGTGCGCGCCTATGGCGTAGCTTCAATGCAGAAGCATGAATCAGCCTTAAGGTAGATGTTGTTGTCCAACAATATCTGCTTCACTGAAGACCACTAATGTCAACCTGGGGGATGATCAAAGTCAGCATGGATTCATACTCTGGGGACCATGAATGTTTGTGTTTCCATCTGATTAATGCGACTTTTGAATCTGCATACATGTGATGAATGAACTTACCAGCCACTCTCTGGGTTTGACACAGTATTTTCTAAAAAATGTATTTTCACCTCCATAGAAGCATCTTGTCAGAGGGTATAGAGAGATTGGGTAGAGAGTCTTCCAGCCTGTTTTCCAAAGACGATGGTTACTGTTAATCATCTGCAAAGCAGGCTACGGTTGATATAACACTCCCTCCATTACTTATTCATGTAAGACGTAATCACAAACATGAACATAATTTGTTGGCTGTCACTATTTTCTTTTTTTCTGCAGGTACCTAAGCTCTCTGGTAAACGGATAAACAGTTCATCTTGTTTTTTTAACTTAGGTTTAATTTTCACCCATGACAACACTCCAGTCTTGACTGTACGACCTTTCTTGTAGCTTTTACCAAAAGAAAAACTACCAAAGTTCTTTCCTTCCCAAACTTCTAATTTGTTTTTTCCAGCTCATCTTTGAATTAGTTTTCCAGCTCCTCTTTCAAATATGCATCATTGAGTTCACTGATGTATACACAGGACTGATTCTGTTATAAAATACAACGGCGCATGTTAAAATGTGTCCTGCGGTGAGGAGCTGATTGAAGTGGAGGCTGGCAATTAGTTTCATTGATAACTGGGGGAACACACTGATCACAGGAAGGCGTAACACATCTCGTGAATGGAAACAGTTCCATTACTCTCTGTCGGCTGCCCTCACTTCCCTCCTCGCCATTCATCTACCAACGTAATGACCAAAGAAAAGAGCAAGAAGCTGATCTGTCAGAATGATTCACTGTCAATTTTCCAGGCTTTATATAAAACTCCGCTCTCTGCTGCAGCCGGGGAGATAGACCCGGACTCCTTACTCTTCTTATAATCTACATATTGACACTTATAATGGTACTGAGCTGATTGGGAACGACTGTGTGGAGATGACTTCTCAGCAAACACTTAAATTTGACTGATGACGGTGTCAGTAGGTGATAACTGGTGGGGCCAGGAGCAGCTGGATTGGTACGGACTATGTTATGGCATGTGATACGGTACTGAACAGCATTATGACTTGCTGTTTGAGTTTGTGTTATCATGCAGTAAACGCATTCGAATAAAATGCTTGTTTACAATCAATCACAGTTTCAATTTCTCTGTGACACGAGGAAGTCATTGGGTTTAATGGTCACAGCATTGTGCAGCCCCAGCTTGTGCCAGATTTGATTTAAGATATGGAATCTAGGCTTTTACTAACAGCACATAGTCGGTTTGCATATTCAAAAGAAGAGAGGCTTGTTTGGAAGAGATGCATTGTATTATCAGATATATTGCCAAATTATGCCTCAAGGTTTTGCATTATCTTCCAAAGACTCCCAATGAGTAAGCACAGAAAATCTGAATTATAGCAACATTTCTGGGCTTGTTTGGGTTCTTGAGAAACACATCTGCAAACAAAACAAACCTGCGCATAGCCGGCTGGCTGGCTGGCTGGCTCTGGTCCTTGACTAAAAGACTGCAGACCTTTCCAATAAACACAAAAACAAGGTGAGATCATGCTACACAGTTTGCATAATTTAACAAAAATAAAGCCATTTTATCTAAAGGCACTAAAAAAAGGCATTTCAATCTCCTAACACACACACACACATCCAACCATACATTATCAATACCACTTATCCTTTAAGGGTCATGGGGGTCTGGAGCCAGTCCCAGCAGACATTGGACAAGGGATGGGGCCGCCAGTCTCGATATGTAGGGCATATATATGCCTGCATATACAGTGCATTGCATTTACATGTAGCACTTGTTGTGCTTTTTTTAAACTAATCATACTTACATGATTCTTGCTGTTCTAGGTTTGTACCCTCATGGTTGAATGCACTTATTGTAAGTCGCTTTGGCTAAAAGCATCAGCCATTTACCATGCCAACTCTGCATAGAAAGACTTGGGCTGGCCCTCGGGTTTGAATGCAGAAGCTAAACTATGCACCACAATATAAAGACAAACAGCATACACTAAACATACACACAAACACAAACACAGTTAACACACATATACGACATAAAGCACTTATATCTTCACCGGGGGAGGAAATGTATTATTTATTTAGGTAAAAATATCAATTCCCTTTATAAAAACACTACAGCCAAACTATAGACTCTAATTAATAAAAGTTCTCATAATGCCTAATGGCCCCTGTCAGTGTTATATTACTGAATTGGTATTCATCATTTTTTTTACTAACCTCTACACACAGACTTTTTTTGTTATATATGTGTGGGTAGATTACAGAATATTTTATACACTGATCATCTGCTGTGTATCTTCAATCATAATATGAAAGGAAATGAATTATTTGTACTGTTAACTACAGCTATAAAAAATACAATTCCCTCCTAAAGCAGCAGAGCATGTAGAAGTGTACTTAAAGTGAATGTAGCCCACATCTGGATTTTTACATGCACTTAATTTGATATAAAGATTGTAGAAGATGTAATTCCTCCACAGTATAAAGTTACAGTTAGTGGCTACTGCTGTAAGTTCCTAGAATTTACACTGACTTGGGAAATATTGCTTTTGGATTCTTTGCACCTCACACTTGGAATGAGCTGCAATATAGTTTGATACCCTGGTCCCAATGGGTCATTTCAAGATTCTAGTAAAAACCACAGAAGATTTTAACCGTCATTGTTTTGAACTCGTTGAATCTAATTGTAATAGTATTCCATTTTGTTCAGGTATTTATTTATGTTTTGATATGTATTACTAGTCTTTTATTCTTATTCTCTTGTGTTGTAAGGTTATATATGATCATTCAAATTTGTTTGTTCAATCTGCTTTTGAAGCAGTAATATATGCAGGTCTCCCTTGAAAATGAGATCTTCATCTCAATGGGATTTACCTGTTTAAATAAAGGTTGAAGACATTTTGCAGCGATCAGTAATATAAGAAGGCAGCAGATCTGAATAGATGGATGCAGGTATTATGATTATTAGATGAGGCGTTACCACAGCAACAAGCTGCTGGCATAAACATCTGGAGATCTATAAATCGATTCATGAAACAAATCCAATGAGATTCACATTTCAATCACAGCTGCTGCCTCCATTGATCCGTGCTCAGTGGAAATAAGGTGACTGGCGCCATAGTGTGGCATAATGGAAAATTGCATGTTGAGTGTGAATGCCAGTTCTGTAATAATCATCTGATCCTGATCTGTTATTGAAAATAAAAGAGAGGGTGAAGGCAAGGTTTGTTTTTTTTATTCAGCAAACTATAATGATACCTCACTGAAATACTGAATATATTAAATGTCATAAAAACATGACATTTGAGAGCCGTTCCTCTTTTTCCGCTGCACTCCACTCGATTTCCTTCCAAGCCTCTAACCTTTAAATAACACAAGTCAGGCAATGTTCTCATGTAATGAATGCTAATCACTTGTTTTTGTCTTTTTTTTTTAAACCAAAGTTGATCCCGTGCGTCCGAGCGCACTGAACCCAGCACCAGCACTTCTGACTGTATCCATCCCATTTCCTGCACCAGCTTCCTGAGGGAGGCAGGGCCTGAGGAGCAGGCATGGGAAAGTTCGCCCTCCTTCTTCTCTCTCTTTTTTCCGATTACATCGATTCCGTTTTAAAAAGAAGACCGATACTGGCCGAGCAGTGTGGACCACCGCAGCGCGTAAAGAGCCTGGTGAAGCAGTGAGGAGAAGAACAAGGCTTCACGAGAGAGAAAGGTGAGGAGTCTCTAGAGTCATGAGAAAACAGTTGATTTACGTGACTAGGAGTATTTATTTTATTGGTGTAATTTCTCTGAGTGACATGCAGTGTGTTTGTTGTAGTTTCAATCCCCCAAAGTGTCTGAAAAACATTTCATCAGGTGTCTTTACATAGGTTCAGACTTTTCATTCATAGTTTGTCATTTGACTTTTAAAGTTCCAGTAAAACTTCTGTTGTATTGAATTTGTTTGTCAATTACTTTAGTTGATTACTTTTCAAATAAACACAATCTTATGATGTATATCATTGACATGTATGTACAATAAGTTATGTTATACTATAAGTTATATTATTTAAAATGCTTCAAATAATATCATATAATTAATTATATATGAATTTTTTAAAAAACCTTTAGCCAATCAAATGACAATTAAACGTGATAATAGATAAAGGTGTTGAAAGAGCTAATATAACAGACGTTTTACAAGAATTATAAAAGTTTTAAGTTTAATGATCACCTTCTGCGATATGACAGTGAATTACTGTCTTTTAAAACTTAAAAAACGTCTGTTACATTAGCACAAATAAGTCTTTCAGTACTTTTTATTAGTGTCTAAATAAACATTGTGTCGTTATGTCTATTATTGGCATTTACTGTATAATACTGCTTCCCTAGAAAAACATCAGCGAACTGTTGCTACAACAACAGCAAAGCAAACAATTAGTGATTGTTATGATGGTCAATGGTCATTACTGGACTTTCTTTAACAAACTGCAGTGTCTTATAAAACTTATTTTATAGCCTATATAAGTTTTTCAATCCTTTAAAAAAAATCTCAAGCCATATAGTAACGGTCAATAAAAAACCTAATGAGATTTATTTAAAAGTAATAATAAAAAGCCTACTGTGATTTAGTGTCTGTGACAATAGTCTTTGCTTGGTGATAGGATTTCATTGTGTTTAAAAGTGTTTATACATTATACTTAGCACTTAATGGTTTCATTTTAAACAATTTTTCATGTGAACTGGTATTCTTTGGTGTATTTTGAGGTGTTAAGAATAATCCTCAAGACTGGAGGAGAAGTGGATCAGTGTGGTTTAGATTGTATGATCCCTGTCAGTCCATTGTCCCGTCTCATCCTGTCAGAAAAGTTTTCTTTATCAGGGAGGGAAGTTTTTTTTTTCTCACAGGGGAAGAAATAACAGAAAAACATAAATAGTCTAAACAAACAGACAAATGTCACAGTAGTGCCTTGACTCCCCCAGACAGGATGTTTGTTCAGATGCATTTGTGTGCGTGCGCGTCCACATCAAGCTTCCCGACAAGCCACTGAGGGTGGCCGTTTGTCACTAAAAGTTTCCAACAACAGCGGCCTCAATATGTCATTAAAAGAGTTTATCATTTGAAGCTGCTTGAAGTCACTCATAAACCCACGTTTAAAAATAGAATGTATAAGATGTAAAAGTTTACAGGGGCCTCTCTTGGACTCACTTAATCCGGTTTGAGTGTGAACAGGGAAATTGTACAGTGTTTCCATTCATGTTGAACAACTTTAGTGGCATGTGGTTTTGTTTTAGTTCTTTTTAATGTGTAGGGGTTTTGTTTTTTCCCATCTTGATGATGCGGAGTTGGAGCCCACCCGAACATCAACAGTGCAGTGAGCTCATGGAAGAACTAATAGGAGCCTGCAGTAAAAGTCAGATGCATGTGTAGTATCAAAGTATAAAAGACGCCTTTATGTTGAATGGGTTGGAGAAGCTCATTTGCTGCTTATAGAAGTAATGAGAAACTTGTGCGTTAGCAAATTTGTAGAGGAAACGAAATATACAGGTTAGGTTAAGCAGTGCATCCAAGCCAGTGTGTTCAGTGATGTGAATGGAAGGGTTGGGAATCTGAGTCCAATCACCTGACATAGCAGCTCCCAATTTGAACAAGCAGAAGAGAGTCTGACTGGATAGTTAGACTTTTGTTTGGTAACAGTTTGGTTCCATCAGGACAGACCTGACACTTGGTCACGAAAACAACCCACAATATTGTAAGAATGTTTTGATGAGCTATCGATGAAACTGTTTTTCCTATTTGAGCCTCAGGCCATTTTTTCTTATCTTTATTTAAAAGTGTGTTTTTTTTGTTTGAGTCATTCAGATTTTGTAATGCACTTGTACTCAAATACCCCCCCCCCCCCCATCCATAAAACATGATATTTTACATCCTTAGTTATATTGTACTAACATTTTTTTGTCAGCATTATTATTATAATCAAAAGTTAGATAAACTGTTTTCTAATTCTCTCTGAACTGTCCCATAGAAGCAGAGGATGTCCAGAGCTGACTGGTCTTTCCTGGAGAACCTGCTAGAGGACGGCCAAGAGTACTCGACAGGCATCGGCCGTATCTGGCTCACCGTGCTGTTCCTATTTCGGATGCTGGTACTGGGAGCTGCTGCTGAATCTGCTTGGGATGATGAGCAGGCCGACTTCATCTGCAACACGCGGCAACCTGGCTGCACTCCCGTGTGCTACGACAAAGCCTTCCCTATTTCCCACTTTCGCTACTTTGTCCTCCAAGTCATCTTCGTGTCCACGCCGACCGTCTTCTACTTCGGATATGTGGCTATAAGGGCCGGGAAGGACAAGAAAAAAGAGGAAGAGGGTGGTGGAAGTAAGAGAGGAGAAGGGAGCAATAAGAATGTGATTAAAGACAGTGTCGAGGAGAAGGAGAAGGAGAAACAAGAGGATGGAAGGAAAGGCAGAAAAGCTGAAAAGGCTACTCCTAAGGCCCCAAAACTTAAAGGCAGAATGCTGTGTGCGTACACATTCAGCATCCTCACAAAAGTCCTCCTGGAGGCTGGCTTCATCGTGGGGCTGTGGATCCTCTACAACGGCTTCATCATAGAGGCAAAGTTTGTGTGCATAGCGTACCCCTGTCCTCACACCGTGGACTGCTTCGTCTCTAGGCCCACGGAGAAGACAATCTTCACCATCTACACTCAGGTGATCGCTACCCTCTCCCTGCTCCTTAACCTCTTTGAGCTCCTCCACCTCCTTCAGCTCACCATCTCCCACCAGCTGGAGAAGCGCTACTGTGCCCAGCGGCAAGACTACCTACCTCAGCCTGAGCAAGTACAAGCCGGACAAAAGACTCCAGAACTTCAGGCGGAGATGTCGCAGTCTTACACAGCAGGGGGTCACATCAGCCTCCCCATGCAGGGTGAGGCTTCATGCTTCTCCAAACCCTGTGAGAGCTACAGGGAGCTGCCGATAGAGGCGAGCTGGGGTCCCGGGGAAGCTGGGAGTGACGTGCTTCCTAGTTATGTAAACTGCATGGGCGCAATAAGGACGTCACATTCGCCAAGACCCCATTATAAAAATGAAGCTCATCACAAAGTGAAAAACACTAGGGGTGCCCATAAGGTCCATTCAAAGCTGAAGCATTATGTTTGATGCAGTCAGATGTTGTTTATGACTATGAAAGCTTTGTTTGGTTTCTTACTCTTGTTTTTCTTATTAGTGCTATCCTGCACATGACCCTTGGGTGTCAGGAGTGTGGGCCGAGAGCTCAAATAAGAGAGACATGAAGAAGAACAACTATTGCACTGTGAACCGCGATGCCTCAGAGGCAGGTAGACATTCAGCCAGAGATTCACCAGATAAACGAGGCTATTCAAAACATCTTGAGAATACTCCCCAAGGCGAAAACAATGAACACTCAGCTATGAGAAGTTTGCAGTCATAAGATGCCTTCAAATTACATTTAATGGCTTTCGGTGCTTGATGCGACAGTGGAAAAAAACACTGCAGTGGGGGGTCAGAGGGAAACCGTGTGAGTGTGTATGGGAGGGAATGCAGCAGAGGCAGATTTAAGCATATTCCTCTGAGATTTGCACTGTAACCCATGGAGCTGTGTGAAGCCCCCCTCTTTTCTCCCCACGGCTCTGTCCACACTGTGGAATGTTCTGGTCTCTGGGTCGTCACTCCAGCTCCCAAGAGGATAATGGCTGCATGGACGCAGGCACGCATGCATACCACATACACATACAATGTACTTTCCCCCTTTCACCCAGAGTTTTTTTGGACACTTGAGTTGGGGATGTGAAGTGGGAAGTCATGGGAATTCTGGCGTAGTGCATGAGTTATCATTTCTAGTTTCAGTGGTATTTTATTTATGGAGAAAGAAGGAGCGAGAGGACCACGGCATACATCATCACAGCAGCTGAATAATGGAGGGAAGGCGAGCTTCCAGTTTGAAAAGCAAACCTTTTAGCGAGCTTGATAGAATGAAGTTGTGACTGCACAGTGAATGGACTGAGAGAGGTAACGTGCGTCAGAAACATGCAAATTCAACAACAGGAAATGACTAATTATGTGAAAACTGTATTTAATGTTTAAGCTGTTGTGAAAAAGTGTTAATATTTATTATTTTAAAAAATAAAGTGTAAACTACCATAAATGAATGATGGCACTGTCAATTTATCTTTTAAGAATCACATATTCAGGAAATAAATCCCCCCCATAAACAATCACCTACTGCAATGTTTGCAATCTATAAGAAGGGCTCTATGTGGTGATGGTTTTATTCCCTTCTCTTTCTGAATGTACGGATGAGATTTACATGAGGGGGAAAATGTCCCCCAAGTGTGCGTTGCTTCTTTTTCCTAGCTGTACAATTTCCACTCTCCAAATACTGTCACCATACGGAAGCAATAAATCACTCAGGGGAAGGCGCTTTGGGAATAATAGAAAGGCCAAGGTGTTGAGAAGTGGTTGAGCCTTGCAGAGTATCATAAGCATAACCTCCTGAGAAGGGAAAAATAGCTATGATTTAATGGCTGTTTTCAAATCCACAACTCTTGGTGGTAGAGAAGAAAGGCATCAATTATATGCCATCAAAGGTTCATACAAGGTGGAACAGCACTTTGTTCTGGTTCTGCTCGATGTCCCCTGGCCACAGCTGACACTGCTAACATCACTTTCTGTGGAGGGCAACTGATAGAATCCAGCACCTTCGACAAAGGTGCACGCCCGGTCTCCGAATGAACGTAGCTCTATGTCTTTCCAGAGATGTGGCTGCAACCCTCTGCAATACGGCACTCATTTCCAGCAATTCACAGAACTGTCTCCATGACGATAAGCAGTTATCTATGGCAGGAAAGAGGGTTTGTGGGAAATTTAGGTGAGGCAGGCTCTCATAAAGGAACTATGTGGAGCCAGCTAAAACCTGCTGAAAAGCAGAAATTAAAAAAGAATCAGATTGTATTTCTTTTGCAGCAGTTTTTATCTAAGTGTATTATGATTTAACAATAGGAAGACTATCTGAGTACTCAGAGAGGAATGTGTGTTTATTGTCGGCAGCCTCTCGGTGTGTCGAGGATAAATTGGCAGAGAGAACAATCCAAGCAGAGACTGCCGGAGCTGCCCAGTTCAATGCCTGTTCACGAGAACTTGGCTGGCATTCTCGTGCAGCCTTGTTATCTCAGTCCAAGTGGGAGGGAGGGATGCATGTGCGCTTGCGCGAATGCATCCATGTGACCGGTCATGTGTGTTTGCTCGCAAAAAAGCCAGGGGGGTCACGGAACAGATTGCACACTGTGACCCCATATCAGCCCTCTCGCTGCCAACCAAAGCCGGCAGCGGAACGGCGGAGCTCCCTTTTCTGCATCCATCTTCCTTACAGCCAATGGAGCCGGAGAAGCCCAGCGTCCTGCTCTGTTCTCTCTCTCTCTGAGTCAACTCTCACCTCCTGTTCACGGAAGCCAATATAAACCTCCAGGTTGAAAACAAATATGCTCCAACACTCGTTTTCCCTTTAGAGTCACTATCTGCCCTCCACTGAAATTGCAGCCCTTTTATCCAGCTCACTAAGTAGTGTGGATGCACAACAATAGGACATTTATATAATGTTCTTCCATTCACCAGTTTTATTACTATTATTACTTTATTATTATCTTAATGTCCAGACTTTCCCCCCAAATTCAAGGTAATACAATCAATCAGAGTTTTTGGAAGATTTGGAGAATTTAAAAAATGGACAGCAGAGATTTTTTTAGGCACGCTGAGCTAACGCGGAGTGGGGGTCATTTGCTGGAAAGACCCCAATGTGTGCAAAAGGTCATACTTAACAGTTATTCATCGAAACTGTGGGATCTGATGCCAGCATGACCACGTTTCCCAACATTGTTGAAGTCACTGCTGATTCATTTCCTCACTGTGTTGGTGCTGCTTATAAAACACAAAGATGTGTGGACACACACACACACACACACACACACACACACGCACAAGTTCTTAAGATTGTAAAGTCGTCATCAAACAAGGGACATCAAACAGGCTCCAGCAGGTCTTACATAAGGACAACCCATGAGTTGAAAAGCAACTCTCCCTAAGGTGAAATCTCAACTCAAATCCCTACACCCTGTGATGAAGCAATATATCATGTGATAATAGAAAAATCACCAAAATGCAAAGAGATCAGGCTCACGCTCAGGAAAAGCAAGGAGTAATAGGCATTATGTAATAATACGCATCTTTATTGCCTCCGCCAAGTAGGTTGTGTTTCACCCCTGTCCATTCGTTTGTTGTTTGAGTGGTTTGCTTGTTTGTCAGCAGGATTTTTGCAAAACCTCCCGAAGAGATTTCTGTGAAACTTGTTGGAAGGATGGCCAAGGGGATGGAGTGTGGAACTGGTGCAAGGGCAGAGGCATTTTTTGACATTTTCATCAATTTTACAGGGGATAATTCATGGATCTTGATTTAAAAGAAATATCAGGCATATTTAAGGGACTAATATCTGAGTGTGTTCAATTTTGGTGCAGCTTGATTCAATTTCAGGGAACTGGGCCTCGGTGGAGAAGGGCCATTCAAGTCTGGTTATGAAATTACGTCTATTGGGATACGAGATTGGTAAAAGGGAGCTCACTGTTTTCGTGCTTCCTGCCAGCTGCACTGCTGATGGCCCTGCGTATCTCTAGAAAGCCCCCTGAACAGGCAGAGAAGGCAAACTCATCAAAATACACATGCAAAGTCAGGATTGACCAGCATGACCTACACACAAAGACTGTAAACAAGGTACGGACAAGGCCTAAAATAGTTCGCTACCGGATGAAGGAGGTTGTCAAAGTTATGCAATATCTCTATTTGGATGTAATTAGAAATAATTTATCTAGTGCAGCAAAGGCCACTTTGTAGGACTCATTGTTTGCTTTATGGAACGTGTGTTTGTGCGACAGGCATACGGTGTTGCATGTGCCAACTCCTTTTTGTTTCTCTCAACGAGCAAACACACAGTACAACCGCCCCTGTATCCATAACAATGTCACGTCCAATCATCCATTCCTTAATTTGGCCATTTGTGCTGCTCAACAAAAACAGCCACCAAATGCTTTGAGCACTCCCTAAATTTAAACCCTGGACAGGAAGTGGGTCTATATCTGTTTCCTGCTCCAGTATTGTGTCTCCCCAGGGATTGCTAACCCTGACAATGGAGCTGCAGTAGGCATTGTTGCATTGTTTTGTCCTGGCTCCCCTGTGTTTTGAAGCCCTAAAAGGAGCCTTAAAAAGGCCCTGTCACTTCAGGTCCAGGCATAGACCATTTCCACACAGCAGCCATTTTCCTCTGAAATACTTCCACTACTTTAACATTTAATGTGGGAAGCTCAAATGCTGCTTTGAAAAGAACGTTGTGCTGCTGTGACCCAGGTCAACACAGGTTGCTAACTGATCTGCAGCTGAAAAGACAATGGATAAGAAAATCTGGAGAGACATGGGGCCATGTTTCAAGGTTACTGACATATTTTGGGCCATGAGGGTCGTATTTATATTTAAATATCAATGCACATCTTGGACACATTTATTTAGGACTGTGTATAAAATAGACTGGAGCTATATAGCTATTATATCAAGCTATCAATGTAATGTTGTTTAACTGTTGTGTAATTTTACCCGACATAAGGAATATTCTGGTTAGAGCAGTAACAATATATCACATTGTGCTCATTGGAACATATTCCTCTATCCACACAGCATCAACACAAAGGTTTGTTTCAAAGCGCTTTAGCATTAGATAGAGTATATAGCATAAGATTACATGGAGAAGATCTTATATAAGTGGAGAAAAAAATGTCAGTGGGTTGTAATAAAATGTATATTTGTTTTTAGTTGTGATGATGATGTTGTGTACTATGAGTTTGTTTGCTTGTTGTTTACTGGACAGATGTGATAGAGAAGAACTCAGGGGATCATGTGAGGATTCACATTAGTTCTGGATGGTGTCATGAGAATAAAACAGCTGTTCTGTTTTTTATATTTAAGTGGGTGTGTCCAGGTTCAACAACTAGTGTGTAGCCTTAAATTTTGCTGCTGTAATGAATTGCAGAGCTCCTTTCCTTTCGTAAGGGATGGTTCAATGTCTCCTTTACTAAAGGAGATAAGTTAGGAAGGAATGAAGCTCCTTAGCTCATTATTTAGAGAAGTTGAACAGCTCTTATTATGGAGGCTGCTGAAATACTTCCACTCACTTAGGGAAGGTTCCTAAGCAAAATGGACAGTTTGAACACACCCATGGTCCCATGTCCCTTGAGATTTTCTGTCTGATCAGTTGGGGACCTGAGAAATGAAAGCAGTTAGTCACATTCCCTGTGTTTATATTACGTATTGTGGATCACAGCAGTTCATTATTGTGTTCATAACAGCGTAAGAGCTTCCCACCCTGTGTGTGATGGGGTGAGGAACATGGTGTGAATATGGTCTATTGATTCTTAATGATGGAGAGAGTAGGACAGGTTATTGAGTCTGCAGGGAGGAGTGTGACAGAAATGTTAGAATAAGTAATAAATAGTAGATAAATTGTTTTTTAGAAGCTTCTGATGTCAGCCAGTTTTAAATTTCCAATTTATCTTCAATTCTTGTGTAATCTCCTGTAAGAGTATACCTGTAAATGTTATTGTAAAGTGTTTAGTCTGAGTATGAGTTTGATAAACGGCAGTACCTGAACTCCAGGGTTTTGTGTATATGAGTGTACGTGTGTGTGTGTGTGTGTGTGTGGTTGTTTAATAGGTGGAAGTGGTGCCCTTCCAACAGGCAGACAGCTCTATTGTTCCTGCAGCAGAGGGAACACCGTCTCCAGCCTGTCCGCTCAGGATGTTCGATTGGACCTTCTTAGAAAAAAAAAAGGAACAGGCAGCATCACCCACACCTATTATTCCCCATCATCCAGCGAGAACAATGGAACACCTCCTGACGTCCCACTCTTCCCATGAGCTTCGGAGTTTGGTTCCCACAGCATTGTCCAGTTGTGAGGAGCAAGGGCCATTGTTAAGACCACTAACCTCTCCTGTTGATTGTTTCCAGAAGGACACACACACACACACACACCTTTCACACACCTAAACACATCGCACTCCTTGATAACTCCCTCTCTGTGTAATTTAGCTGCAGACTCACCCCCCTACCTCTCCATCCTCACTAGTTTCAACTGGAAACTTCCACCAGCTTGAAGCAATTGCCGCTCTGCACACGCACAACCGGGGTCACTGGACTTGAGCAGGTCATTCCACTGATAGCAGGAGTACAAGCTGATGGCTGCCGATAGCGGAGCAGAATTTACCAGTCTGGAGCCAGTGTTAATCTGGGCCTCATAATCTTTTCCCCTGTTTCACTAACTGGCAGGGTAACGTAGCAGAACTTATCCTGGATCACAGGAAAGGTTACCATCCACTCAGAGAGGTTCTGGAGCACGGGAGAGATGAACCTTCCTGCTTCATTACTGAACACAGGAAAGGCTGCGGGACTGGAGTGAAAGTGTCAGCAAAGTAGTTATTATGAGTCCTTTGTAAGAGTTGTCACATCTTCCGAATCCAGGGACGATGGAAGTCAGTCAGAATTGGGGCTGCTGAAAAAAAGCCTATGGAATAGATTAAATGCGATGGGACAGCATTCCTGATTTTAGCATTAAGTTGAATGGACAGCAACATTTTACAGCAGTTTTAGGATATTTTACACAACAACAGACAGCAAACAAACATTAACTTACTATATGTGTCAAAGCAGTGTAGCACTACATTCACCTATGGTCATTTCACATGATATGCAGGTTTGTGTATTTCTCAGAAGTTATGTCTTACATTATCTAGTCAGGCTGCACCACATGTACTGAATGTTGAAACTTGGTCAACTGGTCAAGAATTGAAGAAATTCACTAAAGGCAGATATCATGTTCAAGAGGCCAAAATGCCACCATGACCTTTGACTACGCAAATCTAACCAGTTGGACTGTGAGTCTAAGTGAACATTTCGAATTTGAAGGGATTCTCTTGAGGTCTATAGATTCTTATCAGTTCATCCTTGAGTCCGACTGAATGTTTGAACTGATTTGAGGAAATTCTCTCGAGGTTCAGTTGAGATGTTGTGTTCATGAGAGTGGGACAGACCAACTTTTAACCTTGCAGCTACAACCAGCTACAACCATTATCAGTGTGTGTGTGTGTGTGTGTGTGTGTGTGTGTGTGTGTGTTTGGGGGCTGTAGCCTCCATGGCACCTCAACCTCCAACATCCTTGCCAAAAACCCCTCCACCTTCAATCCCTGATTCTTCTTAAATTCTTATTAAAGCTCCTGTTACCACTTTAGTAGCAGTGCTGTGATAATGAGAACAATAACAGTTGTCTTGATTGAATATGTGGAAACTGTTCCCTCTTCCCCCTACAGGGAGGTCATGTTGGGTACAGGCACAACAGATCTCCATATTGTTTCAGCATCACAGTGTTCCAAGCAAACCATCATTTTAATCAGGATCTCAGTTCACCCAGGAAAGGTCGGCGGGCCTTCGAAGGTGAATCATGATTTTGTTGGACCGCTGTTTATTTCTGTGACATTACTGATGGACTGAGACTGAGTAGAGAGCTGCCCGTAAAAGGAGAAAGTCAATTTTAGCCACATGTTTTTCTACTGATGTCTTTATCAAAAGGAATGTTTTCACATGTGGTTGTTGTAGGTTTGGCTATAGTGGTTTGATGCAGTTCAGACTTGAGCCAGTTAAGCCCAACAGTGATCTTATTGTGCAATCTCACTGCAGCAATGCAAACAAAATAAATGATCTGTTTTTCAAACGTGGCTCAACTTATCCAGACTAACGTGTTGTTATCAGTACAAAGTGATTGCTATGATTCTCTTCTCAGCTAATTTGATTCTTTGGATAAATATATGTTCTCATTGCTCTGTCTCGTGGCTTCTCGCTTTCTCTTTCTCTGTTTCACGTCTGCCACACCCCTTCTAGGTACCAGGATCACCAACTCCTGATTCCCATTAGGTCGTCAGTGGAGCAGCGTATAAACCTCCCACAGCCCGTGTGCTTTCCTTTCAGTCCCTGAGAAAGCAGGTTGACGGACTGGTGTTGTTACTGTGCTTGTTAGTTTTGTGTCTTTCTTTGATTCTTTGATGTTGTAACTTTAATGGAGTTTGATAGATGTTCGCTGCCATTTATGTTGCTCTAATTTTTCTCCTGTCATGGAATTCAGTTTTGCTTTTGTGTTTAAAGGTCCAGTGTGTAAGATTTAGGTGACAGGGATCTATTGGCAGAAATTTAATGTAGAATAATCCTCATGATGTTTTCACTAGTTAATTTCATCTAAACTATATGAATTGTAGTTTTCTTTACCCCAGACAAGGGCCTTTATATTCAAATACTTTATATTTGCATTGAGGGGTTCCTCTTTACGGAGGCCCCCATGTTTTTTACATTAGTCCAGACTGGACAACTAAACACCTTTTGAGTTTTTATGACAATTACAAGCTTCTACAGTTTCTTTTTCATGTTGAGTGTTGTCACACTCTATGAGGGAAGATATGAGTGGAGCCCATACTTTCACTTTTACTTTTCACTTTGTATGTATTGTTATTGTTTTCCTTTCTTCACTGAGTTTCAACCTCTCCACATTCCACACTTCCATTGTCTGTATGAGTTACTGCAGTTCATTTGTGATGAAGCCAATAGTGCGGCAGGTTCAAGTGTCAGCAATGTGTTAGATAATCTTGATTAAATCATTTAACTAATTCAAAACTAAAATGTGTTTTTATATAACCTTAGAAACTCTGTACTCTTGAGTTTTATAATATCAGGTTTATTTTGTTGTGAATTCTATGATTTCCATGCAAGTATTTCTTAATTTAAAAAACTGAACTGAGTGAATAATTCTTTATTTGTAACTCGTAAATTCTCTCATTCGTTCCTCTGGGTAAGAGTCATTCGTCATCCTAAAACAGACTTTGATGTATTGGAGGTTTCACTCTAAAACTTGTGGTCATGAAAGCTTACTGAGAATAGGATGGAACTTTTTAGATGAGCCTCGGGACTTACTGGTCAGACCGCAGCTATTTTAAGCCAGCTTTGAAGTGCTGAAAAATCCAGAAATCTAGTTTCTCACATACAAAAAACATGAATACAAATACTGGGCTTTCTGAATGGACTGGTCTTTTCTTCATCATGGGCCATAGGTCAAACAATAGGTTGAGTCCTCCATTTATTATTGCTTTGTCTACAGTGTTCTCTAGTCATTTCCTTGATCGGAGTCATTGCTTCCTTCCTGTGAATTTGATTTGACTTGCTGTCCTTGGCAGCAGTGGTTTCATAATGAGGGTGGATCAGATACTTCTTTAACCTCTAATGTGGAAAAAATGCTGCAGAAAAAAGCATGTGACAAAAAGTTTTATTACTTTGAATAAAATCTCAAGTGGAAAATTAATTTGGACACACTTTCAGCATACAAATGTATTTTATTCATCACATTTTTTCAGCTTACACACACAACTAAAATTTTGGGTGCGCAAACAAAACCCAGACTTTCTAAAATGAAAGTATCATGTGGATGTTTCAGACAATAGGACTAAGCAGCTTAAACTTCCTGAGAGACCTCCCACAACGCTGGCTTATTTTGTCACATACCATCGGAGGTTTCATGAGATAAAAAGAACTATGAACAAAGACCCTTTCTTCTTTCACTTTTATGTTCACAATCACACGTTTCTTAACGTAAAGAAAAGATTAAAAGGAGAAACATCTGTGTGTGACAGCCTTGGAACACGAAGATAAAGAATTTACATGCGTGTGATTTAATAACAAGCCACAATAATACATGTCAGCGGCACAGGTAGATTCCAATAAAACGGACAATGTAAACCTTTTTCGTCAGGCCAGCAGACACACCTTTTAATTCAGTTCAAATCCTGAACACTGAAAGATTCCAGAGACTTGCTTTAGCTATTGATTAAAGCAACATTAAGTGGAAGGTCAGAAAATCACATACATATATGGTATATTTGACTTCATTTTTAACCCTCCTGCTTCTAGAAAGTGTCTGAAATGGACAAAAGGCATCCTGAAGAGTTTTGGTGGCCGTGAGTGAGGAAGAATGTATCAGCTGAAAAGGTGTGTTCTCCCTCTGATTCACCTCCAGTGCACGATCCTCCCGCTGTGAAAAAGGACAAACACGAGTCTTTAACGCCAGTGACAGACGGTTAGCTTTTTTCTGACCGGTTCCTGTTCAGAGCAGCTTTGGGCGTAAACTCCAGTTTGTCTTTCAGGCTAAGCACCTGCGTGCTGTCCATGCCAGCTTGTTCCAGCAGCTTCCTCTCCTCCCTCAGCTCAAGGATGCCCTTCTCCTCCTCCCGGGTTTTGGGGGTCCCTCTGATGAACCACTCCAGGTGGTAGCCCACCGCTCCGACCACAAGGGCGACAGGGAAGGTGATGTAGGGAGCGTAGGTCCGCATCGCAGTCCACACAACAGGCCACATGACTGCACACAGCTCTGGCTCCCAGGCGCTACATAGGGGAAAAGAGAATTAAGAGTTATGAATATAACTGGAGGGAAATGGAGGCCATTTACTCATAAGAGAAGACGGTGTAAAAATACTTATATTATTAGTTCTGGTTTAAAATGTGATTTCTATTCCACTGGTTCCCCCTTGTGGTTCAAAACTGATCCTGACAGTTAAACCAAATCATGTGCAATTGCACAAATGAATTCAATCAGACTTATACAACATGAACCTACTTGTATTGTTTGTCTGTTTATTGTTTTATAATCCTATTAAATCATCAAATGAAAACTAGTTGTGGTATTTCTGATCTTTCTGACAACCATATAGAGATATGTATTTCTAAAACCATGTCTTGCAGCCAGCTCTGAGTGTTTAAATATCAATACTTATAAAATGATAAGTGGACGAACAAATGGAGAAACAAACTGATGCTAAATCAAACCAGTTTCTCAAATGTAGGCAGATGAACACTTCTAATGTCAGCATCGTGTCACATAATTACCGCTGCCAAGGAGATTGTTTCAGTCTGAGTTTGTTTACTACTGTACTTGTCAACCAATTTGAATGGAACTTAATATAAAAGTATAATAAAGAATCCATGGATCTTGTTGAAGGAATCAGGAATGTTCAGGGACCAGTATGACTGTGCAATGTGTTGCAGATCCAAATAAAAAAATCTCGATCTAGTGAATTTGAATGTGGTTTAATAGAAGGACAGTTGGGTCTTAGTAGAGGTCATCACTTACACTGAATGCCAATGTAGTTGTATAAACATTTAAGTTTGTGTCATTGTGACAATGACACTCATTTAAAGGTTAAACGATAATCTGTGTTGTCTTGTGTAACATGCATGCCGAATTACAACCCAGACCTCCACGATTCATAAAACTTATTCATTCACGTTCGACCACTTGTTTTTACTTTGAGCACACGCAGGGAGAGATAAAATGGACAGTTTTTTCAAGGAGGTTTGGTGTAGCGCCGGTCCGACTGGTGAATTAACCAGAGAACGTCGAGGACCAAAAGCGACACAACGTGCCGAAGGTCGAACACGTCACACTTCACACAGGGCTGTCTTCACGAGCTGCGTGTTCCCGCTGACACGCAGAGTTTACTTCTCCACGGGCTACATGACTTCTTGTTAATTCATTAGGCTCCACCATAGACTGTTTATCTCCACTCACCTTCAGCACGTTGACGACGCTGCGGCAGGTCGACGCAACTTCCGTCTGACCACTTCCTGCTTCCTCCTCATTGGCCGAAGAGCGTCGCTAGGCTTGCAACCAAGAGGGTTAGAGTTGAATGAGTCCCAGAGCTTCACTACCACCTAGTGGTCAAGATACCAAACTGCTTCGACATGAGAAATACTAAACACAGAAACACACAACTTTTTAAAGTTCTATCCAAACAATGACGACTTCTGTTAAAGCTAGGATTGACACGGATGCTGCGAATAAATCAGATTTTCAAAGTTTTGTTTAAAAATAAACAACATTTGGACTCAATGCAAAAGAAAATTAAACTAAAGTTAAAACTCAGTCGTCAACTAACAAGAAAAAAAACATTGTTTTATTAAAATATGTTATTAAGCTGTAGAAGTATCAAAGTGTCTTAATCAACTCAATTTAAAAAAGCATTTGCTTTGTGACTATACAGTCTAATGTGATGGTTCTCAAATAAGGACCCTCAGACATCCAGGGGGTCTGTGAGGAGTTTACACTTTCATCCATTGATGAAAAGCATTTATGGGAATTCTCAGGTAAAAAATAATTCAATAAATATCTTTCTAAGACATTTCTCTTGTGTTGGTCTTTCACATTACTACTTTAGGCAATTACAGTTTTCTAAGGGGCAGACATGGGGGAGTCCCGGGAATCATTTATTGTTGGGGGTCCTTCCAAAAAATTGAGAACCTCTAATCTAAGACAGTTGTGTTTTTACACAACATATACTGGTTTATGTCCTTCTCTCCAGCACTGACATTCATAGAAATACTGCCTCTTTCTGCGTTCAAACACTGGAACAGAATCCTTCTCTTGAGGAACACTCACGAAAGCCTGACAGATCTGTCGCCATTGTTGTGTAACATGTTGACAAGGCATGAGCCCCCCCCCCGCATGGATGATAAGCCCCTCAACTGTCAGGATAGGATTTTATTTTATTTATTTAAAAAGCACCGTTTGGCATTTAAAGGCAGAGTCACACTGAGAGGCTTGGTATTCTGAAGGAGACATTTTATTCAGGGAGGCTTTGCTTTTGTTTAACTGCTAATGAAGGAGGCAGAGAGGCTGTGTCCATTTCACAGGGGGAAGAAAATACTCCACAGTGGTTTCTGGGTAGGGATTCGGCAAAGCTCTACATGATTGATGACGCTGCCAGTTTTCTGTAAAACTACAAGAAGGCTGATCTTCAGCGAGCTGAACGCAGCACGTCACGGAGCGATGACCAGTTCTGACTCATTGGTCATTTGTGCACAAGCAGGGGAGTGAAAAATAGTCCTATTTCCAAAATCTTTATGTTACTATTACTTATAGTGACTGCTGAAATGGTTGTGATTAACAGGATTCTGTGTGGGTGATAATGCCTCATGCTTCAAACATGAGTCCTCCCTCTGTGTCTGTCCATCTTGTAGTTGCCAGAACTGGCATTTGATCAGTCCTGTCAGATAAAGTGAAATGTTCTCGTCCCCTGGAGGAAAACAACATCCCTAGTGCCAGTTCTGCTTTACTACCAGCCTTTAGCAGTGCCAGGATTATTTCATCAGCTGCTGTTTATTGGTACATAAGATTTAGAGCAGTGCCAAGACAAGATTTTCATGTAAAAAATACAGCCGCCTTATCAATCCGACTGACAAACTGACAGAGTGGAGTGTCACATCCTCGCAAACTGAAGCCCCGTAGACCTGCTCTATTTGCCAAAGTTAATTACAGATGTCAGGCATGGCCAGTGGTGGGCAAATTCCTCATTACAGGGGAAATGACAGTCAGGACTTAAGTTGAATCACTGCTGAATCACGTAAGCTAAAAGAGGCTGTGGCACGGCTCTCTGTGGGCTCCAAGCGTCAAGCATGGTGCACTTTCAGCCACACTTTACAGTCCCCAAACTCAAGAGTCTTACTGAAGGTGGTCCACACACTTCAACACATTCACCTTCAGTGTGTGGCTGGCAGGGAGAATATGACTCAAAGTGTGCTTAAGGACCAGGGACAGCTAAGTTTAGCTTCAGATTAAGATGGAAGGCAGGGAGTAGAGGAGGAGATGGATGCGCGAGAGGATTTGATGGATTGCCTGTGATTTAGAGAGAGGCGAGGAGAAGCAGGAGGACTTTTGACACAGACTGTGATCAAGTGGTGTAACAGACGGTGAGGAGGAGAAACGCCAGATGTGGAAGGGAAAGACAGGCTTTTCTTTCTTTTCTTTTTTTTGCTCTTTTGTGCAGCCAATCTGCCCAAAAAGAGAGAAACGAGCAATAGGGCTGTCACTTTTTATTCCAGGTTTGAACATTCGCGGGAGGGAAAAGTTCATATTCTATCTGTAATTAATAGTTACATTTAAAAAAGATAGTTTAATCAGAGCGTCTGAAGTAGTTTGCGTCATGATCCAGCAGAGGGCGATCAATGTCAGCGTGACCTGTTGCGTGCCCTTGAGCTATAATGAGTCCGAAAAGTTACGTTGTTTTGCTACGAAGATGGAGGATGCTAACAGTTCCTGTCACTTTGTGGTTTGAAGTGAGTGTGAATGATTGTCGATGAAGAGAAAAAAAAATACATCAGAGTGTGAAACAAAGGCATTTATTTGTTTCTGGCATGTTTAGGCATTAGGAACCATTTTGGCATTTTCATCATTCAATAATTTGAATGTTGCATATAACACAGTGGAGTGTATCATCAGTTACTGGCCCCACAATCATTTTACTGAAGCTGGCAAACCCTGTTTTTTCAGAGATTTAAATCTTTTATATTTTGGTCAAAGATATATATAAATAATGCATATATATATATATCTCATTGATACTGGCTTACAGAGAAGCAATTTAGCAAACATGGAAATGAGTAAAAAACAGTCCAAGAAACAATAATTTGTAAAATGAATTTGTATAAATGTGGTGCTTTTAAGTAATATCTGTTCCCTATAGACTCTGGAGTATAGTTAATATGAATTGAACAGTTTTTTTAATGGCAAAGGACCATGTTAATGCTGCATGAAGGTCCAGCATATAGACAGTCACTGTCATACACAGTAATGCATGTATTCCGCTGTAGGAGTAGAGACATTGCTGATACATTGATTCAGTCCTGACAGAAATGTAGATAATAGAGTTGTTGGATAAACATTCAGGAAATTCAACATGTGTATACAAGTGCTCTCTCTGGATTTTTAACTATTCATACCTTTGACCAAACATTGGTTCTAGTAAACAAGGGACTTAAGTGTTAACTGCCATTGTCACCCAAGTCCTCTGTTGTGAGATGGACCCGTTCAGATGGACCTTCAGAAGGACCCCTGGTCAAAGTTAAGATGTGTAATAAATCCTTTAGTTGCCTTTATAAAAGCTTTATCTATTGACAGCAACAAGCCACGGAATGACGTGCACAGGCTGTTCCACTGCAAACATATAGATGTGTGAGGGCACTTATGTGAGAACACTGAGCAGAATGTGACCTGAACATGGAATTATGATGATGTGAACTCAGAGCAGTGGGACTGTCAATGGCTCACATGAGCCTGCTGATGGCCCCGGAGAGAAAATCCTCGTAGTTGAGTCGGACGTTGCCCGTCATGGTCGTGTCCCTCTCCCTGAAGACCTGCGTCATGCTCTGCAGCTGGGTGCACACCTGGATGAAGCGGTCCAGCTGGATGCCAGGTCGCCCGCCCCGCAGGGTGAAGCGCTGCACCAGCGTCTCGGAGAACTGGGGACTGAGGTTGTAGCCCATCTGAGCGAGGGCTGAGGAGAGAAAAGAGTGAATTTATGTTCCTCTACTTGTGTGTGTGGGGGGGGGATGTTTTAACCCCATCCCATTTATTTTGTTTGTTTGTTGGTTTGTTGGTAAGTTAGCAAGATTACAGAACTAATGAATGCATTTTGGGAGGGATGGATCATGGGTCAAGAAAGAACCCACTAAATGTTGGTGCTGCGGGAAAAAGAGGCAGTGTGAGGAATTCGTTTTCACTTCCTGTAACGTTGTTAGATAGGCCTTTTATACTCTTTCCCAGATTTTCCGTGGAATAATTCATGGATCTGGATGAAAAAAAAATTGGATAATTATACTGACAACTGACTTTAAACATACAGTAACAGGAATACCTTGTTGCAGCTCTGTGCCACTGATGCTCCCTGAACGGTCTCTGTCATACTGCTGAAACAACGCCCTCCACCGCTGCATGAAGTCCCACAGCGCTGAGAAGCCTAACAGGTCAATTCGACCTGACCGGGTCTTGTCAAACATGTCTGAGAGGAAATAGAAAACATAGCACGTTCAATCAAACATTGTGCAACATCAACTGAAGAAAACCAATCTTTCAAAAAGTGCATTTCCAGTATGTTTACAGCTGGCGGCCACCTTGGATCTTTTCTTGTGCTATGTAGAAGGAATGCACAGAAGTCACACCTCTCCTTGCTGTCAATGTACACCCTGGAAATTCCACTGGAATGCAAGGTGGTTGCAAAACAGTCAACAAGACAAACATGACTCAGGCATTTTTTTGAGTCATGAGGAGATTCCTGTTGATTAACTTGGGAAATGTTGCTTGGCTACTAGTCCCAATTTCTTTTTCTGAGTACTCCTTTATCCTAAGTAACTGCCCCTGTCCCCATTGCTGTATCTGTTTTGATCTCTCTATTGTATTTTACATAGTTAAAGTCTGTGTCACTCAAGAAACCCATCAAAACGCTTTTATCAACACAGATCTAACCCACACTCCACTGAGCGTTTCATTTCACTGCAGCTGCTTGACTTACTGATCATCAGGAGGCAGGTCTCGTCATTAAAAGCAGACCAGTTGGAGTTGACGAGCGCCTGCTTCAGCTCCTTTAGGTTGATGAAGCCGCTGCGGTCCGTGTCAACAGTCTGGAACCACTGGTACGCCTCTGGGTTAATGCCAGGAGGCATGTTACCTGCACAGAGGAACAACAAGAGGATGAAGAGGGCGGTGAAGAATGAATATACCCCATTTCCATCACTTCCAATTATTTCTATTTATTTCTTTCCTGTTTTCCCATCCTTTTATTTTCTACAATCATAGTCTCTCTGGCTTTGAGGAGAAGCTGATGTGTGGAAGAAAAAAAGAGTTAGTCAAAGAAAGAAGAAAAAGACAGTGAACATTGTTAGAAATTCAGCATCTGCCTCGTTCCAATGCAAAAGAAAAAACTGTTTATCAAGAGATGAAGAAGCACTTCGGCTGTCTGACAGTTGAAGCTGTGCTGACTCTCTTAAGCAGAAACCTGATCATAAAAAATAATGCATGTGTGCTTTGACTGAGTCTTTTGCTTATGGTAGGAAGAATAGTAGTATACCTGGAATGACAGTAACATAGAATATGCTCTGTATATAATTGGTCAGTCACATAATTCCTATATTTTAAAGGTGTTAAGAAAAGAAAGGAGGTATAAACATTTTACTGGAAGATTTCATAGATACATATTACAATAATGATGTGCAATATTTCCACTGCCCTGTTAATCATGTGTTCCTAGATTAGGGGTCGCGACTCACCGATGGGTCAATTTACAGTACAACAGGAAACATTGCGACATGTGTATGTAGATTTTGTTTTGTGAGAAATAGCCAAAATCAATATCTTTGTATGTTTCATCGACCTCCAGGAACGACGAGGGGTCCCAAGTCTCCAGCATCTTTACTGTAGGGGTCAGGGGTTGAAAGGTTTGGGATCCCTGCTTTAAGTACTGTCGCTAAACTCAGGGATAATGAATCCTTATGGTCATTTAACCAGTTGACATTCTGTTGAAGAATACCTCCCCCAACCTTACTTAAACATGCTCAGTGTAGGTGGGTTTAAAGGTTGTGAACAAGCCACCTGAGAGAGAGAGAGGGAGTGTGGGGGCAAGAGGCCATTACCTGAATACATGGAGAAGAAAGGGAGTGTGAGAAAATATGGTGCAAGACGAGGGGTGGAGTGGAGAGTGGGCTGGTTGTCAGAAAAATGAATGGGCAGAGAGGGACAGGTGACACTTCAGGCCAGACCCTGATAGATTCTGTCCCTGTGGGGAGTGATGGCAACGGTGGCTTTCAGGTTCTGACTTCCACTTAGCTGCTACAGGAAACAGTGTAATCACATACAGACACACACACTACACACTCTTTACCCATCTGTCTCTTAACTCTGTTTAGCCCTCACTCAGTATTACTGGAGTCATCACTCCAGCTGTGTAATCCTGCTGAGGGGCACAAACTGAACCCTGTCTCTACATGACTGTCTGGGAACGCAAGTCATTTTCTATCCATCATCTCACCAGAGAGCGAGGAGACGAGAGTAAAAGCAATGAAGAGGATGGGAATGAGAGGCTATCTGCAGCCTCCTCACGTTTAGAATCTGCTTGTTCAACTCCCACAGGCGGAGGAAGCAGAGGACTCTTACACGGCCCCAGTGTCAACCTATAGTTACCTGCAGGAGCATGGTGGCCATAGGGTCCTCCATGATGCTGTCCCCCGTAACCGCCATAATGCCCACTGGGGGCACCGCCTGGTCCATGCCCATATTGCCCTGCATGACCTGGGATTCCACCGCCGCCATAATGACCTCCTGGTGGACCAGCAGGAGCTCCGTATTGAGATGAGTGGGGGGACCCATATGGACCACGGCTCCCACCATATGGAGCACTTGGTGGTGGGTTGCCCCCTCCTGGATAGCCCTTAAATGACAAACAAAGGTCACCAAAACTATATGAGCACATTAGCATTGACAGGTAGCAGCATTATATTTCCACAGAGTACCACAGGTATAGAGAGGTTTTTTTATATACGTATAGTAGTACCCAGTGGTACATTCCAAAAGATATTAAAGGTGTGAGCACTAAATATCTGAAGTGGCTAAAAGTTGTCATAACCACTGCTGAGCGGGTCATTCTGAAACACTGGAAGAAGCATGAACCTCCGAATGATTTAGAACGGTTTAACACCGCCACAGAAACAGCATCCTACGAACACCTCAATTATAAGATGTAAACCGGATGTCTTCTTGGAAATCTGGAAAATGTTAAAACTGAATAAATCAGCTGGCAAAATACTGTTTCCTGAATATTAAGGTTGCAACCTTTTTCTATATTTTGTTTTTAAATTCTATTCTTATTTATATTATTTATTTGTATTTTGTTTTGTTCACTCATTTCTAAATGTGCCTTAAACATGTCAGTACTGTTCTACACAGTATGTAAACACTCTCTATTTTGCTAAATTGCAGCATCACGCAATTTATTGTGTACATTTACTAACTCATTTAAATGTGTGTGTATGTATATGTATTGTTTAACATGTATTCTTTTGCTTGTTTGTTCTGTTTTTGGAATAATTTGACTTCCATTATACGTGCACCTTACCATACCTGCGACAACTGCTGTAGTTTTAACAGAAACAATAAAAAGCATAATTCCAAAATGTAGTACCAAGTGGTGGGAAGTAACTAAGTACATTTACTTTAGCTGAACTTTAAGAGTTTAGAAGAATCTTGCACTGTACTTGAGTATCTTCCATTGTCTGCAGTTCAGTACTCCTTCAGCTTCACATTTCCCAGGAAGATAAATGTGTTGATCTACATTTATCAGCAGCAGTTACTATATATAAACTATATTGGAGTTTTGGACTGTTGATCAGACAAAACATGAATACACCACGGTGATCTCTGGGATGTTAACTGGGGAGATTCTCTGTGTTTCACGCTATGGTTTCACGTCATTTATGTTCAGGAGTTGCACATGTGTACATAATGTAGACATACGTTCAGTTGTGGGGAAGTTTTCCTCGCTGGGTTGAGACATATAATTACTAGATACCAATTCAAAGTAGTGGTTTTGGGCAAAATTGCAACATCTACATTTCAATGCTGCTAACAGATGTGTCAATACCACTACTCCAGCTGTTTGCTACGTACAGGATAACAACATAGCACTAAGGCTACTTCTACTTTGCTGACTTAACTTCCACATCAGCGACAGTAACAACGTTCAACTAGCCGCGGTGACTCTTTCCATGGAGCAGCTGTTAGCTTAACTTAGCTCAAGTATCAGACTTTACTCCTCCGAAGTGAAAGATTCACGACAAACCAACTCGCTGCTAGCAAAGAAAACACAGGAGCTAACGCTCCACTCGGGTTACGAAGTCGTGTAAACGTGATGTACAATAATAAAACAGTTGATAAAGTTGTTCAACAATGTTCGTACGTTGTTATAACAAACATATATAAAACACAAAGGCAGTATTTCTGTACCTGGCCGTAGTGGAAACTCATGTTGTTCGGACTTCACTTCCTCAGAGGCAGTTCACTGCAGCCGGATATAGCGCCGCCCGGCTCAGCCTCACGATTGGTCCATTTATGCGTCTGTCAAAACCGCACCCGCGTCCCCTGCTCCTGATTGGATGGTGGAGACGGAAAAATGATGACGACAGTACATGAGTGTACCGAAACTTGATTTCATTCTTGTGTCTCCACAACAAAAAGCCTTCGAAACTATTACAGCTGTTATTATGTTATATTTTACTTTAGTCTTTGTTAAAGTCTATTATTTAATATATATATATATTTTAAACTATAACAGCTTGAAACAAATTCTCTCTCTCTCTATATATATATGTGTGTGTGTGTGTTTAGATACATGTGTGTAAATATATATATATATATATATATATACGTGTGTATATATGTATATATATATATATATACGTGTGTATATATGTATATATATATATATATACGTGTGTATATATGTATGTGTATATATCTTTACATATGTATGTGTATATATATGTGAGTTTGTGTGTATGTATATGTGTATATATAAATATATATATATATATATATAAATATATCTGGATATATATGTATATGTGTGTGTATGTGCATCATATTTTATTTAAATTTCAATTACTCCCCTATCATAAATCACATTCGTTCATCATTTCCTTTTATTTTTGTACATTTTTATTTTGTACTCATGTTCATTCATTGTACTAATTTCTGTCGTGAGTAATAAATTGTTTTTGTTTTTTTGACACCAACTAAGTTAACTCACTGTTTGGTCCTCAAGAGTCTGCTCGAGTTGTGACTCTTAAAATATACCAATACATCATTTTAATGCTGTAATCTTCACAGAATGGGTGATACTGAAATTTAAATGTATTGATATGCACATACATACATGTGAACAGTGTAGGCTGGCCTATATCAGTGAAGTCACACACATGCAGCTATATATTGATTCATATATATTTTTAATATCAACCAAAAGGAACATATACACTGGGGTATTTTTTGAAATACCTTTATAGATCAAAATAAATACAAAATGTAAAATTAAATATATTAGTTTGAATCTTCACAAAAAAAAACATAAAACTTAAATTGTGGGTACAAAAACATGTTTTGAGGTGCATGAATATGTGCATAAATTAATTATATACTTTCATTAAATCAGATTTAATGTGAAGAAGGGTCAGAGTAAGTCGTGAAGAGCATAATAAAGAGCATTTTCGAAGAACAAAAACCTCTCAAGTGACTGCAGATTACTGTGATAACCCTAAAGCAGTGCTTTATGTTGTTTTATTCATTAGGGGGCAGTGAGTAACTGCACCACATGAGGATTTACATTTTATTTAATAGCTAAGTTTGCCACTGGCCCATAGTAATACACAAGAAGACGCACACACACACATCCGCACACTCAATCACAGACACACAAACCAATTCCAAAAATAAAAAACATAAAGGAATTCTTTAAACCCTCTAACTTTCTTTGTAATCCTCTGTTTTTGAGGAGTTCATTTGTAGGCACCAGATCTGTGTTCCTGCACAAAGTCATTCAACATGATTATATTTACAAAACAATGTCTCAGAAATCCCCTGAGTTGATGGAAATCTGTTTGGCGTTGAACTGCAGTTCTCCACCTGTTCTGGATTTTTGAGAACTTTATTCAATTCTTCAACCTGGACGCTGCCACATTAGCAGCCTTACATTATTTTTTCTCAGTTGCCTCCTCAGCCTTGCCGTTACTCAGGTTCTGAAGAGATATCGTAGGATCCACCCTGATTGACGATTTGGACCTGAACTCTGACCTGGGCACTGCCAGCGGCGTCATCTCGTGAGTCTGGGCGAACATCCTCTTGTCAGCCTCGGCCTTCCTCTTAAGGATCTTCTGAATACGTTTGCAGATGAGGTAAATCATCTCGAGGATGCACATAAGGACACAGACGGCAGAGGAGACGACCATGAAGAGGGTGAAGATCTTCTTCTCGGTGGGGCGGGATATGAAGCAGTCCACAGTGTTGGGGCACGGCTCCAGGGAGCACTTGGACAGGCGGGGCATGTCATAACCATCGTAGACGTAGTACAGGATGTAGAGGAAGCCGGCGTCAAAGCCTGCTTTGAAAATCAGACTCACCTATGAGGAAGATGAATGAAGGTTAAACTGGGAGACACATCATCAACAATGTCCATGTTAAGACCAAAGAAGAAAACTTTCCCTCCCTCAATTCTTACCAGGTAGGTCCACCACAGCCCCCCACGTTTCTTCCCAGGGTTGGCATAGAGATGGCTGCCCTTGTGCAAGGCGGTGTACTGCACGTCCTTCTTCTCCCGATACTTCACGTGGCCGACCACCATCAGTGACGGGCACGTGACAAAGATGAGCTGCAGGGCCCAGAGGCGGATGTGGGAGATGGGGAAGATGTGGTCGTAGCACACGTTGTTGCAGCCCGGCTGGGCCGTGTTACACACAAAGTCTTTACTCTCGTCACCCCACACCCGCTGGGCGGCCACCACAAACACCATCACCCTGAAAACAAAAACCATGGAGAGCCAGACGCGGCCGAACACGGTGGAGTATTTGTTGACCCCGCTGAGGAGGGCCTCGAGTGCAGACCAGTTCATGGCTGCTGCTGCTGTTGAGGTGGAGGGAGACGGAGATGCTCTTCAGGTAGAAATGGTGGGATGAGGTCCTTGATGAGATGATCGTGAATAATGTGAGAAAGACAAAGTAGATTAGAAAATGGACAACAATAAACTTAAAATTTGCTCTAGATAAACACATTTCCACATTTCCTTTTATACATTGGATTTCACTTTATAAAACAAAAATTGAACCAGGGTGCAGAAGGGCCAAAATCAAGTTTCTAAAATGGGTGAAGAAGGAAAAATCCTAGATTCTACATGTGCCACTTTCTCAGACCCTCCCTGATTGGATGATGCTCCCATATTTATACTCTACAACTCTTTATAAAGTGAACTTTCGGTTATAAAATCTACAGTTTCCAAATCCGAGCCAATATGACCTTGATGGCTTCATTGGGGTCATTGCTCCACCCCTACCTCTGTCATTATTCAGCTGCTTTGCATAGAACAAATAATTCTGCCTATGTAAGACAAGTGGACGGAATCAGATGTGTAAAATAAGTGAAGGGCC